AAAAAAAAAAAAAAAAGAACCCCTGGGACCACCAGACTGAGGATATTGGATGTTTAGCTCACCATCTTGGCCCACTCTGAAGTGGGCTCCCTGGAAGGGATAAGATTCCAAGTACCTAGCCACAGGAACTTCCTCCCAAGAGGGGTTCTGGATAGTCCCCACTGGTCTGGCATTCATTCATTCATTTTTAACTACAGGTGACTGTTCTGCTGGGGAGGTTGCAGGAACACAGGAAGAGTAGCTGAGGTGTTGGGAGGGACATTCTCAGATCTGGGCACCCCCAGTCTTACTAGGTAAGGAAATGTTTCTATGCTTTCATTGGGATCGGGACTGCAAATCAGTCCCTCCCCTCTAAAAAACCCGGAATCTATTTATGCATAATTGTGTATCTTTACATGTTTAAACTTCGGTCACCTTCAAAGCACTCTCCGTGTGATGCAACATACCTATGGAGATGCTTTTTCCACTGCTCAAAACAGCTTTTGAACCTATCGATTTTGATGCCTTTTAGTGCTTCTGCCATTTTTTGTTTCACTTCTTCCACATCAGCACAATGTTTCCTTGGAGGATTTTTTTATCCAGAAAAAGGTCCCTCTGGGTGTGATCGGGTGAACAGGGAGGGTAGGGCACAGAGGTCATGCCATTTGTGGTCCAAAGCTGCTGAACGCTCTGCACGCTGTGGGCAGGTACAAATGTCCTGTTTGCCCCAACTCAGGACATTTCTTCCACACACAGTGACGCAAATGACAAAATGTGGTGAACGTCAGGAAGGAAACGAACAGGGTGGCTTGAGAGGAGAACAAGGGGATCGGGATGTAGACCAGGTCCTGGGAAGTGACATTTAAAATGAGAATTCCTGTGCAGTACGGCGGCAGCTCATTTGTGATTAAAATCTCACCTGACTGTTTGACCTGGAGGAACAAATTCCAAGTGTACTACAAGGGGCTCACCCTCCAAAAGATAACTCTGGGTTTTTTGGGGTCCCCCTTTGTACATTCGTGCTGATCCTGTCTTTACTTAAAACTTTGATATTTTAGCTGGGCTCGGTGGCTCAGCCTGTAATCCCGCGCCTTTGGGAGGCTGAGGTGAGTGGATTGCCTGAGCCCACGGGTTCGAGACCCGCCTGGGCAACGTGGCGAGACCTCATCTCTACAATAAATCAAAAAGTTAGCCGGGAGTGATAGCTCACGCCTGTAACTCCGGCTACTCGGAAGGCTGAGGCAGAAGGATCGCTGGAGCCCAGCAGGTCGAGGCTGCGGTGGCCGGGAGTGTGCCACTGCCCTCCAGCCTGGGCGACAAAGTGAGACTCCAACTCAAAAGAAAAAAAACAAACTTGATATTTTATGTCATGGATTCTTTGCATTCATTTAGATTTTTAAAAATTGTTGTATTAAAATGTTATTTATCATGATGACCTGAGTTACGCTGTGTCCCCCACCCACACACACACGTTGAAGTCCAGGACCTCTGACTGTGACCTTAATGGGAAATAGGGTCACTGTAGATATGATTAGTTAAAATAAGGTCATACTGGAGTAGAGTGGGCCCCTAACCCAATATAACTAGAGTCTATATAAAAAGGAGGGATTTGGACATGGATACACCAAGAGAGAACACCCTGTGAAGACTGGAGTTTTGCTACCACAAGCCAAAAAGCCACCAGAAGCTGAGAGAGAGAGAGAGAGATGAAATAGACTCCTTCAAGGGAGCACGGCCCTACCAATGCCTTAACTTTGGACTTCTAGACTTTGGCAGGGAGACGACACTTTTCTATTGTTTGAGCCACTCAGTCTTGGCACTTGGTTCCAGCAGCACTAGCAAACGAATGCAATCCCTGGACTTTAGGGTACCCCCTTAAGTTTTAGGATCTGGGCATATCTCTTACTCCCCTCACTCTGGTTCCAGCCCTGCATCATATTTTGATGGTTCTGTCCTCCATGCACTCATTTCAGCCTCTACATCTCTGAAATTTATGAGGGAAGAAGTTTAGGGAATTCAATCAACTATCGAAAGTGTCCTGGGCTGGGGGTGGGTGTCAGGCAAAGAGAGGGGAAGCTATTATTTTATTTTATTATATATTTTTTTGAATCAGGGTCTTACTCTGTCTCCCAGGCTGGAGTGCAGTGGCAAGATCATGGCTCACTGCAACCTCCACCTCCTGGACTCTAGTGATCCTTCCATCTCAGTATTAAGAGTAGCTGGGATGACAAGTGCCTGCCACCTCGCCTGGCTAATTTATTTTAGTTTTTTTATAGACATGAAGTCTCACTATGGTGCCCAGACTGGTCTCGAACTCCCGTGTTTAAGCAATCCTCCTGTCTCAGCATCCCAAAGTGCTGGGACTATAGGTATGAGCCACAGTGCCCTGCCGGAGGCTTTTATTCTAGACTTCATGTCCCGGAACAAAAACTCAATTTCTGGAGCCCATGGCACAGAACATGGCACTGAAAGAGACTTCCAAAGGAGCCTCAGATCGTGTTTCAAAGAGAGCTGTCAGGCTTTGCTACTCTTGAACTTTCCAGAGAAGATCCCGCAGCCCCTGTGAGGGACCAAAACTCCTTTGTGTTGAACACTTTCTGACCGTTCCACATCTACCCTGGTGTACTTGAAGACTTTTACTCTGTCCTCTGCCTCTAGCTTCTGTGTGGCCATCAAGCCACCCAAGGCCTTCTCTTTGCAAGCTAAGTAATAACACTTCTTTAGCCTTTTTATAAAACTCTGATCTTTTAATCCAGCCATGAGAATAAGAATTGTTCTATGCGCTCAGCGCCAAAAAGAAACCAGCTTGACTGAAATAAAAACAGGAACGGTTTAAAAAAAAAAATCAGTGGAGTGTATATCTCTGTATCCCCATCTCTGCTCGTCTTTGCTTTCTTTCATTTAATAATCAGTTTCCAAGAGATGTGGGTTGTGTGGGACTCTCACTAACCTGTCTGGAGAAGCAGCATTCTGCCTGCAGCAGTGAAATGACTGAAGACTGAAGGAATAACACCCGCCACCCCAAGTCAAAGCCTGGTGGTTCTGATACTTTTTTTTTTTTAAATAGAGACAATAGAGCCGAGGCTGGTCTCGAACTCCTAGCCTTACGCGATTCTCCCGCCTCAGTCTCCCAAAGTGCTGGGATTACAAACATGAACCACCACACCTGGCTTCTGATACTTTTTTTTTTCATTCAGTTTGCTCAGGTTGAAACATTTTTTAAAATTATACATACAGTGTAATTTTTGTCTCTGATCTTCGCACTTCTTTTTTTCTGGTTTTTTTTTTTTGAGTTGGAGTCTCACTCTGTCACCC